AGCCCCCTCCACCCCCACCTCTCTCGCTGGACTTCTCTTCCGCAGAGGTTACACCCAGCCAACGCCAACAACTGGTTGCACTTTTCCACGAATTTCAAGATCGCATTTCGTTGTCCTCTTACGATCTGGGGTCTTATGACCACACTCAGATCACCATTAAGACTACAACTGATATTCCGCCGTCCCGGTATCGGCCCACCCGTATACCGGCCCGGTTTCAGAAGGAACTGGACGATCACATCAACAAGTTGCTGGCGGCCGGACGCATCGTGGAAAGCGACACTACCTGGCTCCATAACACGGTGTTGGTCAAGAAACGGGATGGTTCCCTGCGCGTTTGTCTCGATTTCCGCCCCCTTAATGACGTCACCGTCCCCGATCATTACCCCCTCCCGCGCATCGAGGACCTTCTCACACGTGTAGCAGGCAAACAATTCTACACATCCTTTGACCTAGCCTCGGGATACATGCAACTTTTGCTGTCCCCCGAAAGCCAGGCGAAATGTGGATGGGCCACACACAGGGGTATATACCAATTTGTATATTTACCCTTCGGTCTTCGTAACGCGGGAGCGTACTTTTGTCGGGCTATGTCTCGTATATTAGCGGGCCTGGATGACAATTGCCTCGCGTACATCGACGATATCATCGTCTTTGACGACGACTTCGACACCCATCTCCAGTCTCTCCGCAAGGTGTTAGAACGGTTTCGGTTGTTTAACATGAAGGTGTCAGGGAAAAAGCTCACCAGCGTTGCACAGAAGAAGATAACCTTCCTGGGACATGAGCTCTCGGGGGCTTCCTATTACCCAGCGGAGCGCAATCTCAAAGCCATCAGAGACCTTCCCACCCCCACGACGGTCAAGGCCGTTAAAGGGTTTCTCGGCATGACCAACTTTTTTCGCAAGTTTATCAAGGACTTCGCTAAAATTGCCGCCCCGCTCTACGCTTTATGTAAGGATAAAGCGGTCTTCCAGTGGGGTGAGCCTCAGGCCCGAGCCTTCGCCCAGCTGAAAGGGGCCCTCCTTCAACGCCCATGTCTCGCGTTTCCGCAGGATAGAGAGTTCATCCTCCATACCGACGGCAGTACCCTTGCCGTCGGCGCGGCCCTCCTGCAGGTACAAGACACCACACTGCCTCCTCGAGCAATAGGGTATTTCAGCAAGACCTTGTCTCCAGCACAGCAGAAGTGGAGCCCCACTCATATAGAGTTGTTCGCCATGATCAGCGCACTCCGCTTCTTCCGGGCCACCATTTATGGCAATCACACCCGGATATTATGTGACCACCAGCCACTAACTTTTTTGCTCCGGCACCGGCGACCTCATGACAATTTGGCCCGGTGGGTCGTGGAGCTCCAAAGCTTCGACGTCACCATCGAGTATCATAAAGGGGCGTCCAACGTGATTGCGGATCATCTCAGCCGCAACGCCGACCCTACCAATCGGTTCGCGGATGGCAGCGCGGAAACCGACGATATCGTTGAGTTTCCGCGGTGTCTCCTCCAGCACCCCGCTCGTCGTGAGGATACGTCGGGTCACCAGACGCCGTCACGCCCAACCATGCCCCCACCGTCATACATCCGCCCGTACGACGCGCTCCTTGCACAAAAACAGGACCCCTTCTGCAGCGCCATCATGCACTTCCTCGAAACCGGTGCTTTTCCTGGGCACATTTCCCCAGAACTTCGGGACGCCTGCAGCTCGTTGTTAGATCGCTGTGTCCTCAAGAAGAACGGCTGTCTATACTACCTCGGACCCTCCTCTCCCCGCTCTTCCACCTCCAAACCGTTAATCGTGGTCCCTTCTAAGCTGCGGGAACCCATCTGCATCGCCTTGCATGACAGCCCAACGGCAGGAGGCCATTTTAGCTGGAAGAAAACCCTGGCTAAGATCTCGCGGCGTTTTTTTTGGCCTTCCATGAGGGCCGACATATATAACTTCGTGAGGTCTTGTGATTTGTGCCAGAGGAAACGGCCCCACCCCCTCAATCGGGAACGTCTACTCCCCATTCAAGCCGGGGCCGTCTTTGATAAGATCTTTGTGGACCTCAGCGGCCCGTACCGGACCACCCCGCGCCAGAACAAATACATTCTCTGCCTCCTCGACCATTTTACAAAGTTCGCCATCACAGCGGCTCTTCCGGACTGCACCTCACTTACAGTGGCCCACGCCCTCCTGAACCAGGCAATCCTGGTGTTCGGGGCAATGACCACCCTAGTCTCCGACAATGCCGCTTATCTCAAAGGCGAACTCCTCACGGAACTTGGCCGCCTTATGCAGATCGGACGTTACTTCACGACCCCGTATCATCATGAAGGCAATGGCGCTTGCGAAAGGATGTTCGAAACGTTTCAAGAAATGCTGCGCACCTACATCAGCGCCAACCAAGATGACTGGGACCTCTTTCTCCCCGCTTGCACCTTCGCTTACAACACCTCCGTCCACAGCAGCACCAATGACACTCCCTTTTTCCTTATGTTCGGTCGTGATCCAATTTTTAACATTGATCTACTGATTCAGCATAAGCGGGAGGGTCACGTCCCGTTAGATCATGACGTCGGTATGTATAAAGAGTCCTTGGTATCAGCTATCCATGCCGCGTGGTCCTCCGCGGCTTCCTACAACGCTAAGCGCAGCGCTGCAATGAAGCGCCAATATGACACCAAGGCGCTCCCCCCCGCGTCCATCCGGGTGGGCGATCGAGTCTACTTGCGCGACTTCACGCCTAAACCTGGGCTTTCACCCAAGCTTTGCCTTCCATGGAAAGGGCAGTTCCGTGTCATAGCGGTCGACCATCCTCATTTGACCATCACCAGTACGTCGGCCCCCCAAGCCCCACCAAAGCGGGTCCACCTCAATCAGGTCAAAAAATGTTTCGCCTTAACGGGGCCCGTCTTTACGTCCCCTTGGCTCCCAGACGACGAGCGCGAAGCTCTCGCCGCCGTGGGGGCCGTGCCCCAGCCTGTCGTAGGTTACGCCCACGCCGTCCCTCCGTCACTCGCCGATAAGCTGTCCACCACAAGTGTTCCCACCCACACTTATAATACTCGTTTCAGGGCTCGACTGGGATCAGTATGACGACATCTTCGACGGCCGCATGTTCTTCTTTTGGCTTCTTCTTCTTTCGCCATAACTTCTCGTGACATGTCGTTTTCTCGTTTCTCCTAAGCCTGTTTTCGCCTGCTCTTCTTCCTTTCCCTCTCGGTTTCATCGAGCGTCGTTGTGCTTCGCGGCCGGTACCTCCGACCCCTTTTAATTATAACGTTTCAGTTACGTGCACTATGGTCACGGACACCCGCCATTCCTTGCACCCTCTGGCAGGTACGGGCTCTCCCCAGGTCCACCGTGCCACTTCGTCATCTGCCGGTGCGGCCTCGCCTCGGGCTTCTGCCCAGCCTTCTGTCCAGCATACTCTACATCGCTCGGGTACGACTCTTCTCGCCCTTGAAGTGCGCGCTTTCAACTCCTCTTCCGTTTAGGAGCAACGTCATCTTGCCCACCGCCTTTCGCTCGCCGTCGTGCTCCACCATCCTCGTACGACTCGCCAGATCCCTCTCCATCAAGTATGCCTTTTCGTAGTAGTTCCCCGCAGCGCCGATCGCTAATGATGCCCATTTTTTTCAGGTTCACAGCCAAGGGCTCTTGCCCAGCTTTCTGACACTTTGGCCTCAACCTCGGGTAACGTAGCGTGTTCGCCTGCGGCGGATTCTACTTCACCTCGTGCTGCTTTGGCCCGTATGGCATTGGAGTTGGGCTCCGCTCCTGATTCTTCAACTCCCGGACGTGGTCTGGCCCCCGCTACGACATCGGAAGGTTCTCGAGCGGACGCGTTTTCCCGCTATCGGACCCCCGCTTCTTCCGAGCCAGGGCCGTCAACGTCTACCCCCACGGCCAGGGTGGCTCCATACCCCGCCAAGCGGTTCTGCTCTGCAGTGACGGCCTCGCCTCTTCGCGGGATCCAACCTCATCCCGCTCGCTCACCGCGTTGGGTGCAAACTCCCGATGACTACGTCAATGAGTTTTCCCACCTCCACCCTTGGGGTGGCCTCGTCGAACCCCGCCCGCCGATACCCAACCTGACGGAAGATATGCTCACGGCGCAAATGCCAGCTCATGTTTACCGTTTCATTCCGCAGGACGGTTACTTTGCGAGCCGCTTCGTACGATCATTGTTCCCTCGTCGATTCGTCGGAACTCCTTCACCCACGAACAAAATTTCGATCATGGAGATTACCCGTCTGCCCGACATCATCGCGTTTCGGCAACATGCGATGGCATTGGCAGACGAGCTCTTGGATTACACGTACGTCAGCGACTACGAGGAAGTCATGCACCTCCCTTCCACCCCTCTCCGCGTCCACCCTTCGCTACTATGCCCACCTAGCGTGAAGGGTGTTCGTCCGGTCCTCTATCAAGTCGTTTCTCGGACTTACGGTCAGGGCGTCATCCTCGAGGCAAAAGATTTTTTCATCCCTGGACCCGATCTACGGGAGCTGCACTGTATTCCACTCACACAAGAGTCCGTCAATCTCCTCTCCCAGACACGGGGATTTGATCGGGACATGGTCTCGGTGAAGGATTTCTTCTGGGTATACTCTTTACGACCCACCACCCGTGCCTTTGAAGCCGACGACCGGGAATATATCCTTCGTCAAGCTCGTCGTCCGCGCCCGACCGTTGTGGATTCTCCGGCACCATATTTTTTCCGGGTTCACGAATTCATACCGGTGACGCCTGATCCCTCGCCACGCACGGTTCTCGGGATGGTGCTCTCCGTTACACGCCGTGGCCGCGATCACGAATTTGTCAACAACTTCCACGCCGCTTTCGAGGGCTGCCATGACGCTGTGCGGATTTCGCCGACCTTGTGCGATTTTCCACTCGCCGAAATTGAACGGGACATGCTCGTCTTAGCCGTGATTCGGACCAACGTCTCCACGGCCATGCGCTTCTCTCACTCCCCGATTTCCGTTGAAGCTCAGCGCATTCTCGTCAATACCGTGCGCCGATTCCTCCCGGCCCACCCAGAAGAGGGAATCTTGCCACTACGGGTCACTCATCTCTCCCCGGACGATCTTCAGTGGATTGACGACCGCGAACATACCTTTGTTAACTACTCGCGCGATCGGATTTCCGCACGACTACGGATGTGCCAACTGTTCGCCGTTGCCAGCGCCGCTCTGGCTGCACACAGTGTTTGGTCGGACGACAAGGCCACCCATGACGTTACTGCCTTCGTGCCTAGCTTGAGCGCGCTCCCCGTCCGTCTGTTGACGACCCTTACCACTATGAACACTGAAAGCGGGTGGGCGCGCTCTCGCATCGCCTACACATGGGTCGTTAACTCCTACGTTCTCCTGCGCACGAGGGTCGCGGAGGTCGTCTTCCACGCCGGGCATCAATCCATCGAGGTCGAGCTTCATTCGGAGACTTACCGTCACCGCAGCCTCGTTAACGCCATTCGTCGTCACGGCAGGGTC